GCATAGTGTGCATTCTAGGAAGTAAGTTATGTTAGGACTTCTACAGTTAGAGTCGTGGTAAATTTTGAAAGTAGATTTAGTGACTGAGCTAGTGAATGAATTGGTGTGTCTAATGTGGTTACAGCATAAGCTCCTTTTGTTGTTACATGGTTGGGAAAATCCTGTTGTTTTTGTTTTATTACAGATTACCTTATCCCCTGAAATTTGGTTACTAACTATAATTTTCTAAGGTTCTTAGGCCTATGATATGCTAGAAGGTCAAGTTCCTCAAACAATTTTTTTTAGGTTTGGTTTGAAATGTAGTATTTTCCAACGACTTTTGATTATCTGGGATAGTGGAGGAAGAGTGGGGTTGAAATTGGTTACTAGAGGGATGCATCTTGATTTATTTTTAATCTTGTACATTAGGATGTTTTTTCTAGGTGTGAAAGATAGAAATTTCATCTTATTCTTTAGGTCTTCAATATGCTAAAAGAGGCTGAATTATGCTTTATTTATTTGTTCCTGATTAGGTGTTGTTTATAGCCAAATGTTGTGAATTGATGCTTGAGATTTTGGATGTGTTTATTTAATTCTTCATTGTTGGAACATATCCTTCTGAGTCTAAGTGCTTTTGAATAGGGAAGGTTCTCTTTGAGATGTTTAGGGTGGGAAGACTTAAAATGTAGATAGTTGTGTCAGTGATTTTAGTGTGTAGTGTCATTTGTAGTTTTCTGTTTTCATCTATGTAAATGTGGGTGTCTAAAAATGTTACCAATCTTGTAGAATTTTCAGTCAAACTTAATTGAGTTGTGTACTGTGTTTAGGATCATGAGGAATTGGGTAAGTTTGGTGTCACTGACCATGTATACAAAGAATACATCATCGATATATTTTGCATAGAATATGCAGTTGCTACTGATGAGGGGGTAGATATGGGTCTCCTCAAATTTTCCCATGAAGATTGTAGCATATGATGGAACTGCAATGGTGCACATGGCACAGCTTCTTACTTGCAGGTAGTGTGCTCCATTGAAGTTGAAAGTATTCAATGTAAGAATATGCTCCATGAGCTTTATGATAACTTCTGTGGGAGGAGGGGATCTTGTTTTCTTCTTTTAGTAAGTGCTTCCTTAAGGGCGGTTAGTCCTTCGATGTGTTAAATGTTTAAATAAAGTGATCTTATGTCCATAGTCACTAGAATAGCATTTTCTGGGAATGTTTGTATGTGGTTAATTTTGTTAAGTAGGTCTGTTGTGTCTCTGATATAGGATTTTACTTCCTTAGCTAGGGGCTGTATGTAATGGTCTACATATTTGGAAATTTTAGTTGTGTGGCAGTTGAATGATGAAATGACCAGCCATCCTGGGTTGTTGCTTTTGTGTATTTAGAAGCAATCAGGTGTGATGTTTGTGCATGTTTCCTTGTCAATTAGTTTGTTGTGAAGCATCATGTTTAGTGAGCTCGTTAATTCTTTTTGATATTTGGGAAGAGGGTCTGTAGGTAAACTTTTGTAGGTTTCTTTGTTGGTTAGCTGACTGTTGGCCACTTTAATGTCTTCTTTGATTCCCCAGATTACTGTGGCACCCCCTTTGTCAGCCTGTGTTATGATAAGGTTATCTCTCTGCATCAGTGTGTCAAGGGCTACCTGTTCTCCTTCAGTTATATTGTTATGTGGCAGCTTACGTGCTATTGTTTTCTTTATGTCATTTGTTACTGCCATTTCAAATGTCTGTATAGTAATGTCCATGTTTTGTGGGGTGAATGTAGAGTCCTTCTCTTTTAATGTATCAAGTATGGAAGGTGTGTAATCATTGTTTCCGTAGTGGGGTTTTAGCTGTATTCTTCTGAAGAAGGATTTCAGGTCCTTTGCCAAGGTGTCTTTATCAAACCTTGGGGGAATAGGGCAAAAGCTTAGTCCTTTATTTAATAACCTGAATGTGTTAAGCAAAAATTTACTGTTACTTAAATTTATAACTTGTCTGTATGGGTCATGTTTGTATTTGCAATCATGGTGAAGTTCTTTCATAAAAGCTTGAAAGCTTGCATCATGTCCCTTATTAGGGATGCTATATCCCCATCCAAGTGTCCTGGTTGGGGGCTTATCCGTTTTTTTTAATATATATATATATATATATATATATATATATATATATATATATATATATAATTTCACACTGTTTCAGCTGTTGTACACTATGGCCTTCTTCAGGTGATATACATTGGAATTTTGAACCAAACCCTTTATTTAGTCCACTGGGGTAGATAGTTCTAGTCCCACCTACCATGCCTTTTCTGGATATCTCAGTTTTAGTTAATCCCCTTTAGTAACTCAAGTCTACAAGTTTTCGTTCACCTCTGCTGTGGCCAGGTATTGAACTCACAACTCTTTGGATTACTTCAGCTAATGCTTTTATGCACTGAGTCATGTGTCCTGTATACAGAGTGCTATGGCCATAAATAACATTAAACAAAAGAACTAAGAGGAGCCAGTTTTATCCTTTCTGCACTTCCCTTAATTCCCCAGTGACCTATACATAGCATCTACTAAAGAAGTAGTGACACTGGTTGGAAGATTCATTTGCAGGTGAAACTGCCAAACGTCATGCAGTGTTGATCCCTATGATCACTGTTTATATCTATAAGCATTCTATTAAGTACTTTCCCTCTAGCAAATTCAAATAGATAAATAGATATGTACAGACTTAGATAGAGTGATATATATATATATATATATATATATCCAGGTACAATGAGAACGAAGAGAATACAATTTCAATGTTTGTAACATTTAATTTAAAAAAGGGCTCAATATAGAGTAGAGCAATATTATATATATTTTAAGATATTATACCAAAAACATGTAAAAATCGCTACACAATTGCAGTTGTGTTTCAATCCATATCAATGCATCTCATCAGGCAATTGTAAATTACTGGATGTGAAAGATTTATTTAGATTTAAAAGCATTTATTTATCAACAACAAAAAAAACTTTTATGCAGGAAATTCACAAAGCATATAACTTGTTTAACATTTTGTTAAATTATCTCTCTATCCTCCTTTTATTTGTTAGGAAACTGCATTGTCTGGTTTGTATAATTTATGTAACCATATGTATCCATTTTAAGTTTATGTCTGGTGGCCATTAGCTGCCAATCTACAGGTTATGACCCATTTATAAAAATTAATTTTAAACTTTTCTTCTTCACTTAAATTTAATGTTGGACATACTTGATTGGGTGATCAGAGTAAAGCCCACAAACATTATATCCCCAACTTTTTCTTTTTTTTGTGAAATGAGGTTGTATTTTGTTTTTAAATTTAAATAAATCGTTCATTCGCCAGTAATTTACAAATGCCTGATGAGATGCATTGATATGCATTGAAAGACAACTGCAATTGTGTGGTGATTTTGACATGTTTTCGGTGTAATATCCTAAAATAAATAATATATATATATATATATATATATATATATATACTGGCCTGGTACTTGTTTACAAGCACACCTGTCTACTAGAGTGGCTAGCCAATCCCTGTCACAGATGCTTTGCCTACTCAGGTACATTTGTGTTTGTTCAATGCAGAGCCCACCAGTGGTTTATACTGCAATTATGCTGAGTGGACCTTAGAAACTGTCTCAGGGAAAACACATTATCTGATGTGATCAACAGTTCAGTTCAAGCAAGGTCAGTATGCTCAAAGCCTCAGTCATGATGGCTTGCAGCTTCATGTTATTACAATCATCAATGGCTTCTGAATAGTTCTGTCTACACAATTTCACTCACATGGTTTGAGCCAACCAATTGTATGGTTTTCAAGCACATTCCAAAGTTGTTTTACACTGGGATCACCTCCCCAGGACAATAACTCACCTTCCTGACAAATCGACTATGGTGATATTGGAACATGGGTATTATGGTCAGAAAGTGAACATTCTAACCCCTTGACCACACACACACACACACACACACACAATGCCTGCCTAGAAAGTATCAAGCCATTTAATTTTTTTTTTTTAAATTCATATCTAGGGTGCAATGGCACCTTGGGAACTCACACACTTATCTCAGCATCCCTTTCAGATTTCAAAACCATTTGCACAACCCTCTTTTGAGATCAGCATCAGGTGCTTTGTTTCATTCTCCTTAATGTCATCTACAGCATTTCAACAGTGATCTTAGCTTTGGAAAAAAAAACAGAAAACATAAGAAGTAAAATTTAGACTATAGAGAGGGGCTGACATGTTTTACGATAGGGGAGTGTCTGTTTACATCTGCAAAATTAGGACTCTTTTGATCATTTTGATGTAACTTAGCCATATAGATTCCAGTCCTCATATATTACACAGAAATGGGGGCACCTCGAGGTGGTGTAATGGTTAGCAAGCTTGGCTCGCTAGAACAATTATGACTGAGTAGTGAGTTTGATCCTCACTGGGTGCTCTCTAATTTCGGCCTTGTGCCACATCTAAGCTATGCTTGGAAAATCACTATTACACAGAAATGGTTAAGGGTAATAAAGGCTAAGGGACAGGGTGGTAGATTAGTGACACATGTCTACTTGATAAAAAGAAAGACGGTTTAAAAGTAAAACAAAGACGATATCTGTTCCTTTGACAACAATTGTCAAATCCACAATGTTTGCCATGTATTAAAACTTATTCTTCTTGAAATAAAAAAAAAAAAAACTTAGCCAAGATTAAAGAAAAAAAGCAGCACACTTCCTTATTGATTAATCAATTACTTTTAGAAATAACAAATGCTATCAAAACTTATGCTAAAAAAACTTCCAGTAAGTTTAATAGAAAATGTTACACTTAATCATTTTAGAATTAGTTGGATAAAGTTGAACAAGCTTAAATTAATTCCTTTATTCCAAACTCTGGTTATAAAGGTTTAAACCAAAATGAATATTTGCATATTTTTAAAATATGAATCATTTAGCAAAGTATAAATAAACAAATATTCTAGTTAAAGTTTGGATGTTGTGGAAAGTGGCATCAAATACCAGAATTACCTTTTTGGTCTGATTTCCATGATGGAAATTCCTGTTGTTTCATCTCCATTTAAAATAGAATGAATAAGTGGTGCTGCTCCTCTCCACCTTGGCAATAAACTGGCATGCACATTGAGAATACCACTGAAAAGACAAAACAATTAATACAGTTAACTCAATGAACATATATATATATATATATATATATATATATATATATAAAATATTTATTTACACAATTTATATATAACAAATACAATGAGAAAATGGTAATTTTCTGTTTCTTTCAAACCATTGTTAATGAGTTTGATGCACATTGAATATTTCACAGATTTAGTCTTGTGCTAGGCAAAGTTTAGTAAATATTTATAAGCTTGCCTACTTTAGAGTAATGGTTAACAAGCTAATCTGAAAAGGACAGTTATAAAGTCTGATCCTTGCTTCATTGATGTTTGCTTAGATCTGATTATAAGGGATCATTGATTCGGACATTTAAATTGATTAGCTAAAATAAAATGAAATGCATTCACTCCTTTTAGGAATACTTTATTTATGGCATCATTTAACACTTAAGGATGAGGTTGAAGTAGACAAACAAAAAAAAGCATTGAAAAAGTATTTTATTTTATAAAACCAACCAAAACAGTTCCACTAGTTTTCAATAGGGCTCTGGAGTCACAAATTAATCAACTTCCCACGTGTAAAATTTCAAAAAAAAAAAAAAAAAAAAACTGTGTGTGTGTGTGTGTGTGTATATATATATATATATATATATATATCCACACATACACACACACCTACTTATACACACAAGAGGTGCTGAAAAGGTATGTACTATAGTTATCAATGTGTATTTTTTTTTTAAGTAGTGACTGAATATATATATATATATGTATATATATATACACACACACACACATGAACTACAGTTCAAAAGTTGGAGATCACCGTTGGTAATTTTTTTAAATCGGCCCAAAAAGTAGTTGTTTTGTACTTTAAATAACAGAAAATTATTATACATGCTTAAAAAAAGTGAGACATGATTTTTTATTAGAAATTTTATTATGACAAAGAAAAAAAGCTTTTTGTCATTAAACTTTGCTCTTGTCAAAATATCCTCCTTTGTTGCAATAAAAATTTTTGTCATTCATTGCAAAAATTTCTCAAAGTATAAGTTTAATAATTGATTCCATTCTTTTTTCAATGACTCTAAAAGATATTTTTCAGTTTTTTTCACTCTTCTTTCTGGAATGGTTTTAAACTTTTGAATTTTAGTGTATATATTTGACACTTTATATATATATGAATGAATGAATGAATAAACTGAAAAAGAAAACTTTTATTTACCAATGTGTTTTGTCCCCTGAAGGACTTTTATCAATGTAAATGTAAGGATTTTATTTTGCAATATATATTTACAATATTTTCCTTTTGTCTTTAATCATATTATCTTTTCATATATTTATATCTGAATCTTTTTACACACACACACACACACACACATTTCCCCACCCCTCCAAAAAAAATATGTCAAAGTGTAAAAGTATTTTGTGTGATGAAATCATCCTTTAGAACTTCATTTGACAAAAGTGATGTTTACATTGATGCAGCTACACATGCGCACAAATGAGAGGGGGGGGTGGCAGTTTTCACTTGTCAAGAGCAGATCAAAACTTACTTCCTAAATCCCAAACATGATAGTTTATATAAACCAGTAACCAGAAACCATCAATGCCTGAGGTTGTGGTCACTTGACCCCAAATGCTTTCTTTTATGGTATTATTCTTTTTTCTTCTTCAGTCAAGTGTGTGCCATGTAGAAAACCTGACGACTTCATCAGCTGACTATAAAATCAGTGTCCCAATTATAGTGTTTATATATATATATATATATATATATATATATATATATATACAAATTCAATCTTTGGCAAAAGTAATAATTGCCAAAAAGAACGGCTCAATTAAGAGTGCTCAATCAAATTTTCAAAAAACGAGAATGTAGAGCAAATTAAGATATAAAATATTTGAAATACCGACCTTTATGCTTTCATGGTTTCATCAGGCTGTCAGTCAGTCAAGTCTAGATGCTTTATTTAAAAAAAAAAACTCACTTATAAGTGTATGTGCACTGGCAAATGGGAGGGAAAAAGAAGAAAAGTGGGGAGATAGAGAAAGGAAGGAAGGGGAAGAAAAAAAGTTTCTACAAATACTCCTATCTGGGATCATAAGTCGGCAATAGGAATTTTCTTGTGTTCTTCCATCATTACTTCCAATATCTCGTTAAGTAGCTTATTCTGCTCTGGGTACATCATTATCACCAGTTTTTCTTCTTGGTATAGCTTGCATATCCTGATCCTGATGTTACATAAACAGGTTTTTTTTAATATATCCCATTTAATGTTGAGGCTTTCATTATTCTTTCCCTCCACTTCCCACACATAACTGGCAAGTTTCATATTATTTTTGTATTTTATTCAGTTTGAAGGAGGATCAATGGTTATATCACCTCTTTTTGAACATATCCTCTGTGGATCCAATGTATAACTTTTCTTGACCCTTCTTGTGCTCTACAGTAGCCTTATAAACTACACCCTCTATCTTACAATAACCATTTAACAGGCAATTAGCTGAGTTTTGGTAATTGCAGCTTTTCTCAACCATATTCACTTTCACTCCACAATTATTATGCTACTCATACAACTGTAACTAATTTTTACAATATTTTTACTGAAATTTTTGTGGAGCATGGAATTTTCGGAGAAGTGCTTATTTCAAGAAGATTTTGCCAATATTGGATTTTACCTCCCAATTGAAGTGAGAGGAGGGTTTAAACCAAATGATGTTTCTTTTTCTTTTCTGGCTCCGCACTGCTGATGCTATTACAGGCTTAAAGGCCAGACGTGATTTATGCCCTTTTTCCTGCAAAGTCCTCCTATAATCTCACTTATTTTCTTTGAAAATTGTTAAATTTGAGAAATTTCTGGAGAATCTACATTCAGTTCCCTTGGGTATATATTTAATCATTGTTTCGGGGTGCTTGGATTTACTATTCATGTAGAGCAATTTTTATTGTTGGCTTTCATGTAGGGGGGAGACATTTTTATTCGTCAGATCCTGATCAATGTCCACTTTTAAGTTCATATCCCCCTCAATATCAAACCCCAAACCTTTGAAGAGTTTAAATAATTTCTTTCTTATATACTATTATTATTTTCCTCTCTCCATCATCCCGGTACAGGCCATGATCATCAATATGCATGATTTTGTTTATTTCCAATAACATGTAGAGGCCTATCAACTCGAATATCTCTGCAGTCATATGATCCTTTTTTTTTCTTTTTTTTACTTCACCACCCTTTCATTTCTGTCTCTCTATCTTTCTCCTTCCCAGTCGCCAGTGCAGATATGCTTATAAAGGAGTTTTTTTAAATGAAGCATCTAGACTGACTGACTGCCTGATGAAACCATTCTGGTAGAAACCATAGGAGCATAAAGGTTGGTATTTCAAATATTTTATATCTTGTGTGTGTGTGTGTGTGTGTGTGTATGCATGTTTCATTCAATGTGATGAACAAGAAAAAAATTTATAAGATTTTTTTCAGTTTTTTTTAATGTTCTTACAGTTTTTCATTTATGAAAACTTTTATGATGGACAAACCACTTAAGAGATCTAAATTCTATCAGGAAGTACTTAAACTTTCTGCTCCCATTAGAAAAATCCTTGTAGATAACAGTTATAGTCAGAACATCTAATTGCAAGAGCTTTTTGAACATAATTGAAGCACTTTATATAAAGCCATTTAAGCTAAGTTTCAATCTTACCTTCTTTGAAAATGGAAAAAGCATGTTGATAGTGTTTTAAAGACAACCAACATCAGATTACTACTACACTCATCCAGCATGGCTTAGAATTGCTACTACTTCCACACACTTAGAACATAAACACAGAAAAATATACTAACAACAAAACCCCTTGAAAGTGACTAAACTTGTTTCTACACTCTCTTTGTCTCCATAAAAGAAAAACTAAAAACATATAACATTAAAAATTAATCATAAAATTTTTCTTGTCTGTCACATTCAATGAAATATGTATAAAAGAAAGTTAACTATGAAAATATATCTATAAACTCTTAAATCCTTTAAAAAATACGTAAGTCCTATCCAATTGCATCATAAGCAAATTGAAAAATAAAGCTTTTGAAATATTTAGATTTTTTACCCTTATTGCCTATATGGTAAAATCAAATTTTCAGTTTGGTGCAGGGGTGATCTTTTTAAAAGTTTATCAATTTATGACACAGGAACATAGAAAAAAGTCATAATCCATATATATATATGTGTGTGTGTACTGATGTTTAAAGAGAAAAGTAAAGAGAAGCAAATCAATGTAGCATCAAAAGCACAAGTTGTCTAAAGAACTCTGTAGACATGCCATCTTGATTAGTGGTCCATGGCTCCCTGATAATTGCATGTAATTAGATCCCTTCACCACATTTCATAAATTCTCATTTGGGCTTATGCCAAGTGAACATGGTGACCACACCATTTATCAAAAGTCTCCAGAATGATCCTCACATCAATTCTGGCCAACCTAGGTTTGATAACATGGTATTTTATCCAGTTGTTGTTGGGGTGCCTAAAGTCTATAAATGGGTGCAGCTTGTGATAAAGCAGTATAATGTAAGGGTCATCATCATATTTAGGTGGACCCAACATATGCCATATGAATATACCCAACACCATTTGAAATCACCACCACCATGCTTCAAGGTAAATTGTTGTTAATTAGAATCCATGGCCACATGTGGTCTGTGCCATGCCTGAACACTATTATCAGCCCTCAAAAGCTTTAACTGTGATTCATGGTACCAGAGTTCAATTAATGACATGAGGAACCCAAATGAGGTATGTGTCTAGTGTTTTAACAGTGGCACCATCTTCTCTTATATACATGGAAGCTAAATTGACCTGTTGAATTCATATTTAAAGCCTTGTGCATGAAATGAACCAGTGTTGCTTGTCTGTTACTACAGACAATTCTAGCCTCTGGCATCAGGCTTTTCTCCAGGTATTTCCAATACACCAGAGAAAATGTAGATCAAAGTATACTACCTCCACAGCAATTTCATTCCTATATAA